ACTTTTTTTCAATCCCATTTCTGACAAAAGTATAAAATGTGGGAGTCTGATCATGGCATTATGTTATCAAAACCGGTGATCTAAAATACTGTGTGTTTTTAATCTAATCCCTTTCCTTCTGAGTGAAGCAAGGCAGCTGTGTTGCCTGTGGATGATAAATGAATCATCAAAGACTAACAACATGTCCAGAACTTACAATCTACATTGTCAAAATGCGCTTTCACCTGACCCCAATTTCATTTGTTCATGAGCATGTGGATTTCGTGTTGTATGCAGACCTGGAAGCACTGACCTCTGTTCCTCCCTGTCTTTAATATACTTTCTGTGCTTCATGAAGTGAGGGATAATGCTACAGTCAGAGGATTGTTTTGTTCTAATTCTGCAGTGCATTTGGGCACCTCAGATGCTCACTGATTCAAATTGCCTCTGGTTTCCTCTGGGGTTTTGTTGTTTTTTTAACTGGAATTTAACAGAGCTGTAAGCTTTGAAGGCATGAAATGCAGTCAGTCAGACATCCCTTGTGACTCCTAGCTAATGGCCAGGAAACTCAGGCCACTTAAGAGTACTACACAGTTTCAGTCATGAGTAGTAGAGTACAAGAGGATGGCTTTTGTATTGTAAAAAAAAAAGCTTTGCATACAATCATAAAGAAATACTGTAGTGCAAAGTTGTAAACTACAAGAAATGTCATGGCACATTAAATGCATTTTTGTGGCTTAGGAGTTTTCCCTTGGAAACTAATATTCCATTGTATTTATATATAACGGAATGCTTTGTCTTGACAAAATTAAACATGCAGTTAATAAACAACGTACGGGCACATAAAACCTAGTGTTATAAATCAATCAGTGTTCCCAGAATTGTTTAGGTGCCTGTAATTTGTTCAGTGTTCTCAGCATAACCGATTTTGAACCTCATTGTAACTGCTTTGAAGCCAATGCACCAATTCACAGGAATATGCTATTGTATATTCATGCCCTGGAGCCTGCTCACTGTCTCATGCCACTCACTGCCTTTATCAACACAATGCATAGTGGTCACAGTGTAGTTTTGTCAATAAGAATGGGAAGATGAAACGGTAAAACTAAAGAAATGTTATTTATTACAGGGTAGTGGGAGGACTAAATTTCAGGAAACAGAAAGCAAGGGAAAGCCCTCTGCATTTCTATTATTCAGAGCACGGTTTTAGGCTCTGTGCTTTTGTTTTTAATGGTTACTTTAATCATGTGAAAAAGCACTCAAAGGTTGAAGTGTTACCAACGTGAACAACACAGTAAACCAACAGCTTCCAAAGAGACGTTCTTTCTACACTGACACGCTTCTGCTATTTGTACCTAAATCGGTCTTCTTGTACTGTTTGTTTTGGTTTAGGCACATAACGGTGAGTTCCGATTGCTAACTGTTTGTGTGCATGTGTTTCAGGATAAAGACCTGGAATGTAAAATCGAAGAGTACAAAGAAACTAAAAAGTCATGTCCTGAAAGCCAGATAACGGAGTGGTTTATACAGCTCTTGCTAGGCGTTCACTATATGCATGAGAGGTAACTCTATAATACTGATTTGATTTTTATGCATATTTTTTTTTAAAACGTAGATGCTTTGCTAGTGTACTGAAACCAACATACTGTATACAGCATCCCTGAGCATTTAGGGGAATCAGAAAGTATGGTATGTAAGGCTGACAGTCAGAATTAATTTTCTCATGAAAATGAATTGATTAAAAAAAAAATCAAAATATTAAAAAAAAAGCCAAAAGTAAAAAAGTTTGAAGAGTCTCCTGGCTCTGCCAGAGGTTGACAGCTGGGGTCCACTTTCTATTCTAACAAACCACCAAGTTTAATAGTCCACACTTACAGTGGATAGCCACTTTGATTGCTGCTGAAATCCTCCTCACTCTCAGTAATGATAAAGTTCCTTCGGCAGATTGTTCAATTGAAATTCCCTTCAGGTTTTTGGCTGTCACTTAGAGTTTGTACCTCTGATTTGCCAGCAATAATAAATTGTTTTCTGAGAGTGTTGGTTTCCTTCTGGATCCAAGCCATAATTTTACGGCAAAAAAAAACAAAAAAAACAAGCAAACCACATCATGAAAAGCCTTGCGGTTTTATTGTACTGTAATTAACAGTTCAGATAAACTCTGCTCTCTCACAGAGATAAAAGTTTCACTGGATGTGAATGAGATAAATTATGCTCAAAGTGAACAACATGAATAAAAAATAAAAAATAATTAGAAAAATAATAATAAAAGCTAAAGTGCTAGGTATCCAGTGGGTTCTGTAGTAGAGGCCTGTACCCACATGCACCTAGTCTAATGTCAAGTGTTAAAAGGCTCTGGCTATACAGTTTTCCTCAATTTTAAAACAAACTATTTTAAAGAAGTGTATTGTGGTAGGTTTTAATGTTTCCTTTGTTTTCTTGTTTTGCTTTTCAGGAGGATATTGCACAGGGATTTAAAAACAAAAAATATTTTCCTGAAAAATAACATTGTGAAAATAGGTAAGATCGTCCTTCCTCAGTGGACACGCCTGGATGTTTGCTTATCTGTGCAGAGTCTCCAAAGAAGAGCTTTTTAATAAGTTAGGAGCTGGAATGCTTGCATGCAGCATTTCTCCATTTTCTCTGACAAAGAAAGGCACCAATCCAGGGAAAATGATGGATTTAAATGGATATATACAGTATATACCCAAAGTGTCATTCTTACATACTACACGGTACACCTTACGTCCAATGGTAACAGCTTAGGAGTGCATTCAGTACCCTCTCTCGTTCACACAGTGCGTTTCTCCTGTTTAGGAGATTTTGGAGTTTCTCGTCTTCTCATGGGCTCCTGTGACCTGGCCACGACTTTCACAGGCACTCCGTACTACATGAGCCCAGAGGTCCTCAGCCACCAGGGGTATGACTCCAAGTCCGATGTGTGGTGAGTACGTTCTTGCCAGTGCGGGAGTGTTCAGACAGGCAGCCGGTGGAAACCGCGTCTTTCGGCTCCCTGCTTGCGTCGTGGTAACGAAGAAGAACGCGGCAGAGAGCCGCTCCCCCAGATCTTCTCCGGAGGGGGGTCACTCCTGGATATTTGCTCGACTTGGACAAATCCAAAACTGAACACACGAACGATAACAAGAGCTTTAAGATTACGTACTGTATATCCTTTGTAACAAGTCTGTAATTTTGGTCACTTAATCTTTTTTTTTAATGAGCAGAATTGCCAGTGTGACCGTTAGGGTCTAGTTAAAATGTAAATGCAACAGTTAAACCCTAAAGATTTCACCCTTGTACAAAACAAGCACACACTTTTGTAGAACTAAAAAAATAACAAGACTTAAAATTACTGTAAATGTGTGTTTTATTACTGCATTTCCTGTCCATCTTTCTACTAGTAACTTGCTACGCAGTCATTTTCTGCGTGAGTACAAGTTTGCTTTAGTGGCTACAGCTAAGTACTAAACTTGTGCACCGCTAGAATTCACTTTATTTATTTTTGAGTGAAATTGATTAAAGTGTAGAGCTATCTTGTCATACCACAGTTTTAAAACACTAATTAATTGAAAACACTGACCTATGGAAAACCTCATCTTAAATGACCAAAAAAGTTCAGTCAGTTCCTCATACGCAGAGGAAGTTGCTTGTGTTTGTGTGTTCTGCGTACCGGCAGCTCTTCATCCAGTATTATTGTATAAGCAGAAATGTAATGTTTGTAATGTCAGTGAAATGTAATGGTATGTTCACATGCTTTCCATTCAGTACAAAAAAGGAAAGAGTATAACTGAATACTATGACACATACAGTAATGCATCAGTAACATGTCACACTTATTACAGTGCAGTTGACAGTACAGTATATACAATGCTTACGAAGAAGGAATAAGACTTATTCCATCCAAGCAAAATCCCATGCAAGTCACAATAAAACAATTAAAATTGTATTAGGAAAGACTTAATTGATTATATTTCCTCCTTCTTCTGCACACATAATCATTTGAATATTTACTTCTACATGTTTTCTTACTTCGGAAATGCTGATTAATTTTCAAATAGAGTAGGAAATAATATTTCTCCCGGGTAGGAGGACAACCAAGCTGGAATCTCAATAATACTGTACATCTAACCTCAGGCACTCTATCATAATTTATGCGTCAAGCACCTTCAGCATTTTAATCTTTGTAAGCGTTGTTATGAATTCATATTTTATGCAGACAAATACAGATGATGATTCCTAAAGAAAGGAGAAAAATAAAAAAAACAAAATAGCCATGTGAAATCAAGACTGTGTATTTGATATGACTATTCATATGTAGGATGGTAAGAAGAAAAATATTACTAGCGACCATCTGTAATATTAATTAAATCAACTACCATTTAAACCTCAGTAATTCCTATGATGAATTTAGCATATTTGTACTAACAGCATAGGAGTTCTCCAGTTCTATTTTCTAATGCTCTGTTTACCATGCTAAAATCATCTTCTATGTAGAAAACACTCACATGTCCTATTAACAAGTATGATGAAACTCAGTACACATGAGTCTGGATTTACAGTATATATACAAACACATGGCTTCCTTTAAATAGAAGAACACTAATGTGTCAATTAGTCATAGCAACAGCAACAGGAGTAATACAATTTGCACCATGAACACAAATGTTATGGCTGGAAGCAATTCAAGCAATCTTATGTTTTACATAATACTTAAGTATTAACATATTAATTAGTGAGCAGACTGATCATGTTGATTGAATCGTTTTGTTCCTTGATATAACAAAATACTGGGCTCAACAAGTGATATTATACTAGCACCAGGTGTGAAGTATTTGGTATTTGAGTTAACATTGACAAATTGATATTGATTCAGAATTAGAGATTCATATTATTTTTAATTAAAGATAGGACAACAAAAGATATTACTCCTTTAGCTTGATTGCTGTAGGTATAATGCTGTAGGCATAATTGAAGGTGGCCTGTCTGAGAGAATCACATAGAAAGCTGTGGGTCCAGATGCCAAATGTTCCACCTCTGAGAAAGGAAGTTCATTCAGACTCTGCCAGTAAAATACCCTGCTGTATAAACAAGTATAAATGTGAGTTGTTTGGGATAAAAGCACCAACCTCATTAATTAAATGACCTTTAACACACAGCTGGAGTATATGAATATAAGATGCTAAAGGAGCCCTTTACATTGGGATGACATAAGTAGTGGAGTACCACAAGGGTCAGTTCTAGGACCACTGCCCATACTCATCCATATTAATGATCTGTCTAGATTCTGGCATAGCTTACCAGTATAGTCTGGTATAGTTTACCAGTTTACCATAGTTACCTGGCAAACAATTCCGAGAGGGGCGAGACGTCACGAGGAAT